GTGGTAGATGGTTGACAGGACAAATGGAAACATGGCGTTTCTAACAAGCATCATTGTTCATTCTCATTGTCGCGTAAGCGGATACTCTTAATTAAAATACAACTCGTTCCTGCATTATTTTTAATCTCAAAAATAATATATTTCACAAATCCTAACAAATTGTAGATTTGTTCGTATATAGAGATATTTTTTAACAGGTATCAAAAGCTTTGATACGTTGATTGTTGGTCACGATTCATTAGATTTTGATTAGAAGGTGATAAATTTGAACAATGCGGTATTTTGAAAATTTAAACACAACATTTACATATTTTGGAAATATTTTTGGTAATTTTATCTATAAATCATTATGAAAGAAAAGTTCATAGTGTCTTTGTTTGAGTTATGTTTACATATCTTTTAATTTATATTTCGAATTCAGGACTCTAATAAAGACCACGTCTATTACCGATGTCTATTCCAGGAAAAAACGTATTTTCAATGTGAATGTCATAATAGGTATAATTTTATCGATCGGAGCTTTTGACGGTCACTAATATCATTTCATAAATAACCACTAACCCAAAATCGTATTTGAAACTAGTTTTGTGCAAAATATTCTTGAATTTAGAATAGTTTTAAGTAAAGGTAATTTTTATATATTTTCTGGAACTTTATTGACTAGCATTTATGCATGAGCGCCAAATTAAAAGAAAAGTGTACAAACAGTCTTAATTAGCTATTAGTCAATTAGGTTTCAACTTTATTACAAATTATCTCATATAATATAATCGCCCCTCAACTACCATAATAAGCGATTGCATATATACAAGTTAAATTTTACGCCAACAACAAATCACTGAAATATTTACAAACACTTCATATGCAATTTTCATAAAAAACATTTTTATCGTAAATAAAACGCGTTATGAAATTCTGCGATTCCCTGTATATTGCAATCAGTATTGATTGAATTCAAAGTAACACATATTTAATCATTGTTTTGTTTGCAACTTATTTGCATTTTTGCGCGCTGTGAATATAATAAAAAAGTGAAATTGAATGATGTATATTATTTCTATACATTTTTGTAAATATTTAGTTGAAATTCTAACTAGCCTTTCAAACATGTTTTTGTTATGCAGCTTTTTATCATTTAGTAAGCAAAAATAATAACGCAATTAGAACAAGAATTTTACAATGACAATTTGGGCGTGAAATCGTATAAACTCGAATACGCACTGTGATTTTTATGAAGTTTTCCGGCATACATTTCACTAATTATATAATAAAAAGAACTGTTTGAAATGAAAAAAACACGCATTAACACAATAAACACAAAGTCGCCTGAAACTATGCCACATATATTCTAACTTTGTCTCTGTATTCATACTGTGCGAAGCCGAGAGCGCTCGATGTTGGAAAAAGCGAGAGTTTTTCTTATATTTAAAAATCCATTAGCGAAGGTTTTCTTTACAGTTTGTGGTTTTTCGCGAGTGATAGCTTGGATTATGTGATTTTAGTTAACGTCAAATATTTTTATCCGGTTTCAAAAAACTAAGAAAATTTTACAGACGAATCAAAAAGAACGAACTTAAAAACTGCAGCAAATTGAAATTAATAATGGAATAAAAGTAATAGATAATTCAATATTTTTTAGTCAAATTAAGTAATGGTTGTTACTGTTAAAGCGAGAAATATCATATCCATAAATCATCAAATTGGCATTTACTTTTAATTAATATTCAAGAGTATATGCACTGCTACAGCAAAAGCAAAATTAAATTTAAATTCTAATGGAAGTAAATTTTTTTTTAGTCAATTTATTAAAATTAAATAAATTATCCAAATTATTACTTTAGAAATTCAACATTTATAATTTATAATTACAAAACCCTGTTTAAAAATTTAATTCCAAAGACAAAGCATACACAATTTTCTGAACCCAGCTCTTCGCCCCGGCGGCTATTCGGTCGCAGTGCTTTTCTGTTCAAAGCGTAGAGTACGGTCGGTACAGTACATTGCGAGTTAATAATAATTAAGCCCCGGATGTACAATATTACATTTAATGGAAGAGGCTTGTAAATCCAGACTCCATACAGATTAGTGCTGAATTACATGCTGATTAGTGCCCATGTCACATGCATGACAAATAGTGCGCGGTAAAGTAACCGCGGAAAGGGACGAATACCATTTAATATGAGGACTATACTGGAAATCTATTGGTTTCAGTAAAACTCTTAAACGTAGTCTTAAGCATCAGCTTATCAAATATCTCTAACTCAAGTTTAACCTTTAAAGTCCAAAATTATAGACACAATTTGTATGTACGTGAAAGAGGCGTACAACTTTACAACTCTTCATATATACTTTGGACTCTAATTAATATACTTTAAGAGAAGTTTGTTCTCTCGAAAAAATCCAATTTGCTAATTTCATGTTTTCTCGATATTTCAAGTATTTCTGAGCCGAATGAGACCAAATTTGGAAAAAGTATATTTGTGTAGGTATGTGTGTATGTGAATTTTTTGCCTTTCATCGACGTTTTCTTAAAAACGACTAGAGCAATTTTAAAAATTCAAAAGTCATTCAATGTAACTCGATAGAAAAGTGTAAGACATTTAAGGCTCACAATCTTGAACTAATTTTAAAAATTCAAAAACTGTTTGCAAGATATTGGCTGGAAATCGCGTTGATTAGTTTTTGATAAAGATCGGCTGGGCCGTTTCATCGTAAATAAAATTAAAAAAAATATTGAAGATCTTGATGAAACTTTGAATAATCATAGATTTCATAACATACTGAAATATTATGGGCCTACAATAAGCGGTAAAATTATACAAATTCACCAAAGTAAGCAATTGCTCCCGCACGCTTATGCGATTCTAATCAGAATCTATGCCGAAATCTATATATACGTTTGGTGTTTCGTAGGTAGCTAATGATTACAGTTGACGTCAACACTTCAAATAATACATTTTCATAACCCAATAGGGATGAATTAAAATATGTTAACAAATTAATTTATATTATACAATTAATGATATTATAAGTTTGTTTGAAATTCGCTACGACAGTAGTAGTTAGTTTGGAAATCTTATTAATTAATTTTAGGTTGTAGTTAGTTTGGAAATCTTATTAATCAATTTTAGGTGAAAGCAGAAATTTTATTTTCGAAATAAACAGTTGAACATTTTTCCTAAATAGCTGGATCTTAATTCTTATAGATTAAGTTGATTATGTATCAGAAGTATCGGAAAGTAAATGCAAGTTTTCTTGGTAAAATGCTACTTACAACTTATTATTTCTTATAATACCTGATTTCTAAAATATCTTCCGAAGAGTGCAAAAACGTAGTTTGAAACATTTTTAAAACATTGAAGCAAAGATAATCGATACCATTAGAAATGCAGAAGTAGTCTACTAAATACATTCTTCCTTCTCTATATTTACTATTGCATTACCTTCTAACTAATAAAGTTGTTTATATGACACTTTTCTTTGGATTTTTTTTTCATAAAAGATTGTGAAGTGAAATATAAAGTATAAACGGAGATATTAATATTTAATTAATACAATAGTTTATGCAAAAATAGAAATAATAATAATGAAAATATCGAGAAACATATATGTTCTCCAAAATAAATTGAAAATAAATAATGAAACATTGTTGTTACAAAATGTACTTTATGATCAAACAGACAATAATTATGGAATGATTTCGAAGGCACGATATTGTTGTGTTTTAACCTTATTATCTTTTTATAATGAGCTCTTGCGAAACAAGATTAAACGAAGCGTAAATGTAATGTACATCCGATAGCGTTTCTTGAACCTTCGCTTTATAGTGTTATTTTTTTTATTAAATTATTCCACAAATTAAGTTTGGGTCATTGGATACTATTTATCGTCAATTCCAAATGTATATATTGGATTACACAAGATAATATAATGTCAATAATGTAACATGTTTTGAGAATACAAGAATAACAGTAATAAAAATAAGTATTCTTAGAAGTCCATCATACGGTTGATAATGAATTTGTTAAAATACATGATATATTTTTACTTTCTATTAGGCAGTTATTATCATTTTTTGTGTCAATGAGTTCCATTACAACCTTGAATAATGTGGATTAATTTATTTTTTAGTATCACATATATTTACTTTCATTTACAATTTATCTAGATTTGATATGACTATGCAATCAACGAGTGGCGAGTCATATTATCAATATTATGTTTTTTTTATTAAAAGATAAGACAAACGAAGAATTATCGTTGACGATTCACATTTCAGAAATTAAAATATTTGTTAGGATAAAATAGGGTATGATTATCTTATTGAATTTGTGTTTACTCATATTTAATATCAACAATTTGCGTTTCAAGATAAGATAAAGAATATACAATGATTATAATTAGTTTTATCCATTAATATGAATATCCATATCCACTAAAAACTTTATGAATATTTTTTACAAATTCTGGATCAAAATTAAAAAAAAATACTTATTGCCAGATTAGAAATAAATTAAGAATTAAGAGTTGTAAAAAAGATTTTAATTGATTTTTTCAAGCTTATTTAGAGCTTAATTATTATTAAATGTAATATTTCTAATAAATATTATCATAGTTACTTGTATCTATGTCCGACACAACAATGAATTCAAAATTATGAATATGAGGCTATATATATCATATGAATATGTAGGTTTTACACAACATAACTAAATGTTATCTCCAGACACCCAGAAATAGAGCACACACATTCCTTCCGTTTTCGGGCAGAAATACTAACAATTGTTGCACCACATTTGCATATAATAAATTACTCATACAGGCGCCCTATCCAGCTATCTTGCAAACGTAACTCTAGGTACGTATGTTTATATTACGAAGGCGGCATGGACCATTATTTTACATAAAACTAGGCATGCGGGCGCATAGTTTTCTCTATGGGCCATGAATATACACAGAGAACTAAAATATTGTACTTTAGTATTATCATGTTTACATACCGGCATGCAATGGAAACCGCAGAGACACCAGCGTTGGGGAGTTAGACTTTACGAGTAGACTGCTATTATAATTGTTCTTGATGATGCAGCAATTAGATTCACGTCAATGGTAATAAATCCGACAGTTGTGATGAATCATGTTAAAACTATCCAGTAGTATCCCACGTGCTCGAGAGTCTGTTGTTACACTTGCCACAGAATGTAAAATTCAAACTCAAACGTGGGTTGCTTGCGAAGCGCACGGGCGAACAGCTGTTTTCAACTCTAGACCAGAGTATATAGTGGTATAGTACAATTGTAATAATTTTCTTTGAAAATTGTTAATTAAACGTAAGTGATGTTAACGCACTTTCAAATAACTTTAATGTCAAAAAGTTGCTTTAAAGTTTTGTCGCATACAAATTTTTTAATCGAATTACTAATCACAATTTGTTTGAGTAGATGATAATAAATATGTTTTATTACACTTATATTTTAACTAATTTTATGACATTTTGCCTTAGGCAAGAATGATATAAAATTTTGAAAATGATAAAATTCGTATAAATATTTAGCAAAATCAGCTACATTCATACATTGTATAATCAAGAGTAGAACACCTAATACTCTTAATTTTTAGAGTTCATAAAATAGCAGTTTATCACAAAAAACTAAATCAAAATAAATTCAATTTTTTTTAATTTTTTTAATCAATGGTCATTCTTTGGCACTATCAACTAAACAACTTTCTCCCTTTTCATTGTTTCATTCATTTATTGTCGTAGCTTTCACTGTTTAGCATTACCATTACCGCGTAGCCCTTGGTTCGGTTCGCGATGCGACAATAACGCGTCCGCGCGCTGAATGAGGTTATATTGACTGCGGGAACGTTCTTCCGGCGACGCTACGCCGAATTGAAACAGATTGAGTGTCTGCGAAGCGCATGCGTTGCTATTGTGTGTTCCGTGGATAAATTCGACAGGGCTTGGAAACTCTATACATATTTAATGGAAAGTCATTTTTATCTCGACGGCTTTTGCAAACAGACGAGATGGATCGTTATAATTTAAAATGTAGACTATTATAGTAAAATTGCTTAATGGGTAAGGATTTACATGTACATGAAATCTATTTATGTAGTCTGTGTAAATATGCATGATCTGCTTTGACATTAGATTTTGATTATTTACTCAAGTACATACGATACACAAATTATTATCATCTATAACTAATTATTACTTAACACTTAACGGACAGGTCTCATATACTTACGTTTGCTTCGTTTCTGATCTTCTACGATGGGCTATGTAGATCTACGTTTGTGCATAAACTTTTATTGCCATGCATTAAGACTTTTCTTTTATGTACAGTACAAATTTTTTTGTGATATTAAAGTTATAGTAGGATTTGCTTGTTGTTAGTCAAAGTGCCATAATCAATTTAATAAATTTGCAGTTACTATAATTTTAATTTGCGTTTATCTGATTACCGGTATTTGGTTCTATTTTTATTATATAGTAATTTTTACACCTGTTTTGAAATGGATAACAAGTAAAATGGTTGTGAAATAATGACCCCAAAAATACAAAACCTTCTGATGAAAATACAAAACCTTCTGGAATGTAATACCGATGGAAAATTTTAATACCGGTATTTCGGTTATTTTTCATTTTAAATTCGGAATACCGGTAAATTACCGGTATTTTTATTATCGTAGACAAAAGTAAACAAAATTGAAAGTTACTAGTACAAGTATAGAAAATGTATATAGAACTACAACTATATTCGTAATATAGTCTATATTCATAAGTTTATTTTTTTATATAATAATTTAACAAAAGTATATGCAATTTAATTAATTCATTATCACTATCAAGTATATTGAGTACTTTTCATTCAAAACAAACTTATGAGTAAGAAAGACCAAAAATTCATAAAAGATCATATTACATTATTATAATAAAATGTATTGCCTGTATCCAATATGTTAAATTAGCATAATCTCCAATATTTTAAAAAAATAATTTTTCTACACTAATTTAAGATCGGATTCTTTGTCGAGATAGATAACAATTTGAAGCTTCTATAGTATTTTCAAACTTCGAAACGTTTTTGAAAAATAATATTTTTTAATTGTAATAAGAAGCAAAAATATTTAGTAATTATCATAATTATTATGTGTAAAGTTAGAAAAAAAATAAAGATTACGCAGAGGTAATCTGTATGATATAAAATATTTTGGCGCAAATATCACATAAAAACCGTTACATTTTTACAAAAGATGAAACAAACATCATTATCTATCAAACATCATAATCTACAATAATTCTATTTATTGTAACTCGATATGAAGCCCTTTGGAAAGCAATAAATATTCAGTTTAATGACGAGTTGAGATAATATTTGACATTTGTTTATCTTATAGAATCACTTGAACATATAACTGATTATGCGATTATGGAATTTAAAGATAAATTTGTTCCGAGAAATTTAAACTTTGGGGTATTATGTATCAAATAGCGCTTATGTAAAAATACCGAAAATACCGGTATTTTTGGAATAAATACAGGTAAAAATACCGCCCCAAAAATCGGGCGGTTTACCGGTAATTCGGTATACCGCTATATCGGTATTGCATTCCCTACTTCTGACCATTGTTAGAGATTTTGAAAATTGATATATTTTAATGCAATGTGATTTTCTTTTATTCTTGTCCTGGTAATATTGCGGTGTAATTTTCTGGGAAGTAGATTTGGATGATCGAGGTGGCCTTTCTAATTGTCTGAATGTGTTTGTACTTAATCGTTTATTGCGTTTATGTCGGCGTCTTTAAGTATTAATCAATTCCTTTAATACTTTGGTTCATTCAAAATTTCTTTGAATTAATTCAAGTTTTTTTATATTATGTGTATGCCAACATAAAGAAACAATTGAGTTGAAAAATATATACTTAAAAAAATTAAATATTTTTTCAAGTTATTATAGGCAAACCTAAATCGTACCTACCAACTATACTCTCTACTCTTATCTAAGAAAGTCCAAATATAGTTTCTCCATAACTTTATTCATAAGTCTTTTAATATCCATTCAAAACAAGTTTGGTAAGACGACGAATGTATGGTTTCCGTCTGCATAATGGCGACGCTGCAGTTCTTCAGCGTCGCATGTGTTGTTTGCTATCGTCGGTCTGTCCCATGTCGAAACTTTGAGTTGTTTACATGAAAAGCGGATGTTGGTTGGGAAAGTCCGTTGTTTGCAAACAATTCTACATGATGTATCTATAGACAAATGCAGCAGATAGGACACAGAGCAAATTATATTTGCAAACCACATTAAAGGATGCACAGTTATAATTAGAGATAGAAGAAGTGTTTCAGATTGCAAACACGGTTGGTTTACCATTAGTTAAATTTTAATTCTTTTCGCACTCCATAGAGGCGCCACTAACTGCACCCAATATACCTGATTAATTGAAATAAACTTATTATGCCAAGTGGTTGTACACAAAGATGAGCCACATGCACGTCATGATTCATTCACCACGGTCTTTTTACGTAAATTAAAGCTATACAGAATCTTTTCAAGATTTTTTTTTTTTGGAAAATGATGCATATATTGGCTCTTTCAGAAATTTGATCTAATGAAATCAGGGATAGGAAACTAAACCTTTTGTAATAATCTCAGTAGTTTTTACGTTGGCGACCCCGTGCCGTAGCTCTGTAGACCTCTCGTGCAGTATAGAGAGAGACGCGTAGCCTTTTATCAGACATCTCGCGATTAAAAACTCTCAATTTATCCGCCAGGCATAAATAAATCTGTCCTACTCCCACGTTCGGATAAAATGAGGATGTGACCGAGATAGATGAATCACGTTAAATGCTACGGTAAATTGAAACACGGATATATCGATCTCTTTTTCCATTAGATTTGCATATAAATGGTATACGAATTTTCAATTGTCAAATGTCGGTTGTTGTGATTATAAAAGGTAATGAGTTCTATAGTGTCGAAGACAATTCGATTTCGATGAGCGTGAGGTAGGTTACGCCCCAGGACCAGAAATCAGAGTATCAAAACAATAGAAAAATTTAAATATTTCTTAACTTTTACAACCAAAAACACTAAATTAATTATTTCATTATTATTGTAGAGGCCTGGCGCAATGTTTGCTATAAATGTTAGTAATAACACTAAACACAGACACTCTGATTACTTTGAAGGACCAGGTATAATAAAGAATAATTTGTGTGTTTTATATTGGTATTTATTTGTGAGATGTGTCAAGGTAAACGTACAGAATGACAATTTTCTTGGAACAACTTAGTTTCTAGGGCAGTAAAATTATTTTATTGATATGATATACAATATTTGTGAAGCAGGCACAAACAATTATCTTACATGGAATGTTCTTCAGCTAATATAATTTTTATTATTTTATAAATATTTTTTTAACTTTTCATTTATTAATTTATAAATATTAGAGCAATAATTTATTTGTATTTTATATTTGGCTGTTTTGTTATTTAATTGTAAATTTGTATATCTAATACATCTATATCTAATACATCTAATACATCTAATAGAGCACAACAATCACGTTACATACTTAGTCAATACCTTTATAATTTAATCACTACATTTATCATTATAATAATTAGTAGAAATTACATTTTTACAATCTGAAATAAATTATAACTTTCTTTGTTGTTTTACTACGTGTATCATAATTGTTGGATAATAAATAAAAAGATTAGGTAAAGCTAAATTATGATTTGTGTAAACACTTATATCATTTAAATATTTAAGTTGTTGTTTACACCACGACTATTTTCGTTTTGAAATTACTTCATTTAAGAAATAAAATAGTAGTTTTATAAACAATATTTATATATGTATCTATTTTCAGTCATGGTTGTAGCTACAAAGCATAGCATCTACATTGATTTTATGCTAACAACTAACAAATAAATATAATATTGTTTTATTTTCAACGATAACGATAAAAAATTTTGCTGTTTTTGCACATCTGAAAAAAAAAATCAGATCTCACTTATTTTTTGCTTCTGCTCCAAAAAGCCCCA